AAATAAACACTACCGAGAGCAGTCTGTGCAACCTAGATTAATCTATGTCTGAGGATTATAAAAAAAAATAAAAATTGGTGAAAATTGTGGCCAATTTAATCTTGAGACTTCATCGTCTGTCAATACAAGTGAATTTGTTCACAAGCGGATCTTGACCGCTCCAACATGGCGGATGCTCAGGTGTATCGCCTCAGATAAAGAACAACAGATAACTCTGTATCTAGGTATGTATATCTATGTTTGGCACACAAACTGCTGCCATCAAGTGACTAAATGATGTTACTACACCTACAATCATTTTAAAGACTTTAATGTTTTACATTTGGCTAACTGGAAAAAACTTTCACTAGATCATCTCTTCATGATCCACAGACCTCTGACAGCTTAAGCAGCTGATGATCATCTCAGACCTACAGCCAGATCCAAAACCATAAACCCCCAACATAAACAACACAACACTCACCATGAGCTCAGTGGACTGGACTTTCAGAGCTGAAGATGCAGGAGCTCTGGATCCTGGAGAAAAGCTGAGAGAGATGGACATTACTACAAAATCTTATTTTCATGATTTTAATGAACAGGACTGAGAATACTTTATGTGCTGTGGCTGTTAACAAACGGATGATGTACAAATGTTAATAAATGATGAACAAATAATTGTAGTGATCAAGATACCCAGATGGAGAGGCCTAGATAGACAGAGGAGGAGACCAGCAGAAGCTGATGTGGAGGCTGCAGAGAACAGCACTGCCCCAAATGTTTCATCAGAGGAGAAAAAAAGAAGTCCAGGTGGAGCCTGAAGTCAAAAGAGCTGCTCCAAAGGCTGCTGAACTTTGTCAGGCAACAGCAGAGACACTTAAGTCTCTGGCTTTGATTAGTGAACAGCTGCTGTCTAGTCCTGAACTTGCTGTCAGACAGGCATTTAAACTGCTGCAAGATGAGGAATGGTATGACTTTAGTGAACCAGAGTAGAAACACCAAACTTACAGTGTGCAGACAGAAGATAAGGAGCAGTGATGTGTTTCAGGATAGTGTTCAGACTAGAGTTATAGTGGCTGATAATATACAGTTTAAATATTGTGTAACATACAAACAAAAATTACTGTCTGAATTTTCTAATAATCAGAATCTTCAAATGTTTCCACTGAAAATGTCCATTATCCACAGCTAGTGCTGCTCCTGTGTTAAATGTTTAACATACTGGCTGAATCAGTCTTTATCATGTTTACTGTGATGTTCATCTCATTCTAATGTCTTTCTTTTGAAACAGTGAGTGGAAGATAGAGGGGCTGAAACTGGGGCGTGCTCTGGCAGAGCACCACGATGAAGTCCTACTGTCTGAGATAGATGACATTTGCCTGACCGTCATCCAGGAGGCCAGACACACTTTTCATACACACTCTGTACAAAAGCTCCTGTAGTGAAAACTGAGCACTCTGTAAAAAGACTCCAAATAGCAGCTTTACATTTTCCATCTGTACTGAAAAGATTTCTTTCTTCAGAGTGTTTGTATGTCATTACACACAGTCATAGTCACTCATGTTCTAAGAGAACAATCAGCAACTGAACTACAGACAGAGGCTCACTGTGCTTCTTTTGTGTCCACTGTCTCAGGTATAGAACCTGCGCTCCATGGCAAACAACATCCAGGAACTAGAGAGTGAGGACACTGAAAAGCCCGCCCAAGATGGAGGGAGGCTGCCTCTGCACTCTGAGCCCTTTGGAAATGTGCACGCAATAGAAACATATTCACCTGTGGATTGGTGCAATCCGAAGGAGCTCTGTGTATTTTCCTCAATCTGCACACCTGTCCCTCCACCTGCACCTAACCCAGCAGGTTGCCCAGACTGAGGAGTCTGCACATGCTGGCCAAGAAAGGGAACAAGGCCTACATTGAACCTGGTAAGATGAAGTTTTTAAAAAGTTTTAGTTTAAAAGTCTTTGTTTATTTGTCGGTATGTAGAGCAGAAGTGAAAAACACAGGGTTCACACACACATATATATATATATATATCACACACGATCAGGCGTAACATTATGACCACTTACTATACAGGTGCACTTTGTAGTTCTACAATTACAGACTGTGGTCCATCTGTTTCTCTGCATACTTTGTTAGCTCCATTTACCCTGTTCAGTGGTCAGGACCCCCATGGACCCTCACAGAACAGGTACTATTTGGGGTGGTGGATCATTCTCAGCACTGCAGTGACGCTGACGTGGTGGTGGTATGTTAGTGTGTGTTGTGCTGGTACGAGTGGACTCGTGCACACCTGAGGAGCTCTGTGCACTTCTGTTTCTCCGAACACCTGTCCCTCCACCTGCTGCTGCCAAACCCAGCAGACTGCCAAGACCAAAGAGTCTGCACATGCTGGCCAAGCTTGGGAGCAAGGCTTACATTGCACCAGGTAAGTTCCAATATTGAAAATTAGTCTTAGAATACTTAGAACAGGAGTGAACACCACAGGGTTTATATGCAGCATCACAACGAACCCCATGTAGTTCATGAATAGAACAAATTTTTACTGGAAATATATATATATATATATATATATATATATATATATATATATATATATATATAAACAAACATATATATATATATATATATATATATATATATAAACAAACACCCTCAGAGAACATTTTTTATTACTGTTCTTATTTTTTTATGAGTTTTATCGCTGTGATTATTAAGTGGTAACACATTATTTAGATAACCCACTGTAAATGGTCTGTAGATGCTTATTATTGATGCTAATTTGATTCCTGAAATTCAACTAAATATCTTTTTCTTCATTTGTGCATTTTTGTGTCCTGGGATCAGGAAAGTTAAGGTTCATTTTAATATGCTTTCTGTTTATGGGACTTGTTGCAGGAGATCTGGATATTTGTAAAGTGTATGATATTTCTATGTGCAGTGTCTCATCACTCTTTGTGTTTCTTTGTGTCTCCCACTGGATCTGTAGTCGCCTTGCATGCTCTTCATAATATAGTGTTTATAGTGCAATTTTAAATTATTTGTAGCTGTAAAAATAGATCTGAAATATAAATTCATTATAATTAATAGTAATGTTAGATGTGACATTAGTGATTTTAGCTGTGTCCAGAATGATGGACAGAGCTGTAAATGACTCTAAAATGATGGAGAAACCTGTAAACAACCAAGAATTATGAATCCTTTATATTTGCAACGTAGTAATCAAATCTCGAGACCAAAATGACTATAAAAAGATCATTACAGCATATTTAGCTTTTAATAATAAATAATGAACAGAATTCTTGAAACACTGAATGAAAAATTTAAAAGCACCTGTTGGTTTGAGAGCTCGTCCCATGTTGCTCTGCTCTGCTCTGCTCTGTCTCTGCTTATAGTGAAGCTTAAAGCTGTTGTCCTCTATCAGAGCAAAGTCAGACTCAGCCACTAGAGGAGGACAGAGAACAGTTAGCATTTGCAGCATTTAAAGGGCAATTCCACCTAATTTTCACAATTTCTAGTTTATTCAAAAAGCTCTCATTGTATTTTTGTTTTGCTATCCGGTATCAACCAGAGGAGGATGGGTTCCCCTTTTGAGTCTTGGTTCCTCTCAAGGTTTCTTCCTCTTGCTCTGAGGGAGTTTTTCCTTGCCACTGTTGCCACTGGTTTGCTCATCTGGGGCTCAGACCCAGAAGTAAATAAATAAATAACAAAATAAATCTGGTTAGTAGAACCTTAGATGCCTATAAATACTATGATTAGTCGGCCCGAGTCAGAAGTGCTGAAAAAAATGATTATTAATGATTCCCAGTTTAGGTGTTTAATTACTCCTTATTAAAAGAGCATTTCTGATGTCCATACGCTTATTAATTGTTAAAGTTAATCACTTTTGATGCTAATCATCACTTTTTACACTGAACTGTTTATCATTTTTACACAAAAAACAACACTGTTATTCTTTAATGTGAACCAAAGAGTTAAGAGGGAGATAAACAACTGAACAGTTAAAGTAGATCATCTGTGTAGAAATGAAACAGAACACGATAAACTAACAACATGTCCCTGTATATTCATTAGCAGTGAGAATCACTAGAAGCCCCACAGTATAATGTTATCATGATTTTTGGTTCATGTTATGATTCTTCTGTGAGTTCTGATATGCAATATATTAAATATTAATAGTATTAAAAATATGAGTAAAGGTCTGTTTTTGGATCCAGTTACACTAAAACCAACATTTTTACACAACATTGCTATTAAGAATATTTACCTCTCTCGATGTTGTTTTAATGAGTCACTTCATCTAAAAAAAAATCAATTGTTGATCGAATGTGCGGTGCTGTGGGGTCGAGGGAAATAATGCAGCACTCTCATGGTTGGCTGTAAGTTGTGGGTGTTATAAAGGCTGTTCTGTCAGTCTTTTGTTGTTTCTACCCACAGAATCTCAGTGTCAGTCACTGAAACAGGCTTCCTATCTCAGCACACTAGTTTACAGGACGCAGCTGCTCCAAATCACTGTCTTTACACTAATACAGTGAACTAACTTTAGATGTTCAAGCAATTTAGTCCCATTATCAGCATGACTAGCCTATTTAGCCTTAGGAGACACTGCTAGGCTAGGTAGTGCTAGCATCTGAGAACTTGAAAGGTGGCGCAGCTTCGTTCATTCATAAATAACTAAGTTTGTTCTTCATATTAAGTTCTCTCGTTTTACCCAGGTCGACACGGGACCCATTAACTTATGTAACCTTAATAATATAAAGAAATATGATAAACATTGTTCATAATGTTGGATAAGCCTGTAAAACGCCGCTCTCATAGCAGCACTTAATACACATGTTCTGCCATGCTGGGGGCGGTTCATGCTGAGCCACAATGTGTTCAGAAGACCTGTCACTCCAAATCAGTTGACCAATAGAGAGTGCAGGTGAACGCCCTCTTCTAAGAGCCGCCCCCTGTTAAAAAGTGCCAAAAGTCAGAAGAAAAACAGAGTAAATGAGTAGTAATCATCTTAAAAGGTTAAGTTTGATTCAACTCTCATTATTTGTATTTGTAACATATTTTAGACATTTTTGTTTAATCTGCTTTTCTCTGTTAATCATGTGATTTCTTAGTGCTGTTTTTACATGTATTTGATGTTTAAAGAATGTTTTATAACAAAGCTGAACATTAAAAAAAATGTATTTAGTTGAACAAACTACAGCTGGATGAATAGAAATATACGTCACACTGATTAATGAGAATGAATGTAGCCACAGAAATGAATAAACACACACACTGTGTTCTGCTGCACAGGGCATTTATTTATGGTAGCATACAGTGCCTTGCAAAAGTATTCAACCCCCTTAAAAGTCATCAGATTCGTCTGGCTGACAAATGAACCCGTGATATTTTGTGCTGTCATATTTTATTTTTAAAAGACTGAGACTGAAATTATTTTAAAGTGATAAAAGTTATATAGTTATATCAGAAAATATTCTTTGAGAAAAATGACTGAAAAAACACCCTGAAAAAAATGCTTTTTCCATAAATATTCAACCCCTCTGCTGTGGAAGCTCAAATGAGAGATTTTGCCCTAATGAGGACACAAATGGCTTACAATCGCCTCTGCTTGTGAATCATTTAAAAAGTTCACCTTTTCTGGATAAAAAGCCCCTTAATTCAGATCTAACTGATCAGACTGTGAATCTGAAGGAAAGCTGTGAAAATCAAGACTAAAGATCATTTTAAGGAAATTAGAAATAAAGTTATAGACATGGCCACAAAATAATATCCAAGTGTTCGCTGAACAAATGGAAACTGCACCACACAACGCAGGCACTGCCGAGACAAGGCCGTCCCTCAAAACTCAGCTTTAGAGCAAGGGAGGGACTCTGTGAAAGACACCACAGAGAGGCCATAGCACGTCTGGACTCAGCTAATATGTGGGATAAGGTTTTGTGTATGTATGGCCAAATTTCAAAGTGCTATGTGTGGTGCAAGCCTAACACTGTTCACTCCTCAGCAAACACCATCAGCATCATGTTGTGAGGAGCTTCATGTTGTGGAGATGCTTTTCCTCAGTGGGAACTGGGCATCTTCTTAATGGTGCAGAATACAGAGAGATACAGCAAGACAACCTGCTTTAGTCTGACATAAAACGAGTTTGGGAGAAACTTCACCTTTCAGCAAGTCAGTGATCCCAAACACAAGGACAAAACAATACAGGAGTAGTTGAACAACAAAAAGGTGGTAATTTGTAAAATTTAAAAGTAAATTGTCGTCCACAAGCACCATCCAACAAACCTGATCAACATGAAGTAATTCTACCAGGAAGAACAGGTGAACATCTCTCCCAACAGTGTGCAAAGCTGGTGGGATGCTGTTACGTGGTTCTATCAAGTACTAGTCTGAAGGGATTGAATACTTATGAAAGCAGCATTTTTCAGTTCTGGCTAAATTGGGAAAAGATACAGAAGTTTTTCCATACAGTTAATGCAAAAGCACTGTAAGAAAATTGCAGCCAAAAATATGCAAAAAATAATCAGTTTTGAGTCTTTTCCCTCCAAGTCCTTCATGTAGGCCTTTTTAGGTCCTGCCAGAATGTGATCAGCTGCTGTGGGGAGTTAAGGATGGTGGTGATCACACTGGCAAACTCTTCTCGTTTATAATTACCGCTAAAATAGTCCTGAAACTGGGAGGGATTGGGGGGGTCTGAAGGTGAAATTCCTATTCGTTTCAGACAGGCACCCACGTATGCATCCTCTACGTTAAATGGCTTTATTTCTTTCGAAACCTCAACAATCTTCTCTGAAAGATCATTGGAGAACACATAACCCATCCCCAGCAGGTATGTTGGGTAGTAGTCTTCAGCATATAATTCCTTTGGCACGTACCACTTGGAGTTCTTGTCCCGGATGACTGGTCTGTTCCACATAACCTCTCCCGTCATGTAGTTTTCTTTAGGCGTATCAGGTCTCAGCAACAAGTTCATCAAGTTCTCCAGATTCAAGAACATGTCAGAGTCTATCTTCATAGCGTAGGATGCCTGCGGGCAGTGTGTGGCCAGCCAGTCCATGATTACCATGGTCTTTATCGTCAAGTTGAGGTACGAGTCCATGAAGTTGCTCTGGACGAGGTCATGGTACTGCTGGCTTTCCAGCCTTAGTTCTTCTTGTTGTTTCTCAGCCTCGATCCCAGGCAGACCCAGCGAGAAGATCACCGTGATGGTTTTGTTTTGGACCACGCTCTCATTACCCCATGTGCTCCGGATGGCGTTGCGTGCCTCCATTTCATGTGGAGCCACTGGAACCATGAGGACCAGAAATGGGTTCTCTTGTTCACACTTATGGGGCTCATCTATGATGAAGTGGTAGTTGTGTGGATACGCTTCATGGTAACGGATGGATGATGCTTCTTTCACTGGAACAGCTGTCATATTTATTAGTGTGTGCTTTCTGACTTTTTGGAACCTGATTAACTTGGCAAAATTGTGGAACCACACTGTGGTCGGCTCAGAGCGGATGCCAAACACATAGATCATGACAGGCACAATGAAGGTTACGGACAGCAATAATATCAAGCAGATCTGAAAGCGCAACCTGCTGAGGCTGAAGGCGGCCATTTTCTGGGCTGGACTAAAAGAAATGAGAAAGAGAAAATTAGTCAAAATGAAGCAGCCTTTTTCTTGAAGTAAAACTCTGCTTTTATTTGCTCACTTTAAACACAATACAGGCTCAGTGAGTGATGGAAACTGACCTGATGTTGCTTTGAATTTATGATGAACAGCCAACTTCCATCCTTCGTCTTTAACTTTGCCTTTTACTGTCCACCTTTCTAATAGTCTAGCTCACCGTGCCAGAGGGGTTGTCCTCTAGGTAAGTGGCACCATGTGGCTGTGGTCACCGACAGACTTGTAGTGAAAAAAGCCAGATTTATGTTCCAAGAACATTTGCAACCAGAGGTGTCTGAAAAAAGACCATGCTGACCACATCATCCTCATATGGATTTTAGATAGTGTTTGTCTGAACAAATATTCTAGATTAAAACACTGCATGTCTGTTACAATAACAATGGGCCTCATTCACCAACTGTTCTTATGTAGTTTGTCAGATTCTGACATTCACCAGTGTTTTCTTTATTGGGATTTGTTCTTAGGTAAGAACAGAATCTACACACACTCAAGAGCACAAAGGTGTGAACAGTTCATATCATGAATCTGACATAGACTTTCTCTTGGGACTTTTCTCAAGAACACATTTAAGATAAAACTTAAGAAGATATTAGTAAATGAGCCTCATTGTGTTTCAGAGCTTAATTATTCTGGCCTTTGCTGTTACTCAACCAGTCAAACCTGCAGCTCAAAGTCTTCGATTCACAGTTTAAACTGAAACTTGTCTTCTGACTCTGTTGGGGCTTTGAGATGTCACACTGCTTCCTGTCAGAGTTTCCTCCAGTTTTAAGTGCCTTTTGATGGTGCAGGAAACTGTACTCACTGTCACTCTGGCTTTCTTTGTCAGGAAAGACCTGCACCTTAAAGGGTTATAACAGTGTCCAAATACTGCCCTAGAGGGTGTAATAATTCAGTCTGTTCCAGCACTGCTGTTCTCCAGACATAAGGTTTGTAAGTAATCAACAGAGGCTGGGACACCTGTAGCAACTGTTTGCATGAACTTTCAAAGCCTAATTTACTTCTACTGAACAGTTGTAAGTTGTTAACCAATTATTTGTTCCCTGAAAAAGGCATGTCATGTAAATACTTAGAGCCGTTGTATATCTTTGTGAATTTGGCCTTGTTTTGATCATAGATTTACTTGCCACCTCCTAATTTTTTTGCTTATACAGACTTTAAAGACATTCATAAATTGTTAGATTAGAGTGTCTGTGATCTGAATTTTGATTCCAATACCAGCTGATACCGTGTGACTTAAAATGCAGTGAATGAGGCTCTGATAACAGGGAAGTGTTACTGACTCCATGACAGTCGATGGTCACTTTAAACATTCTGCTTTGGCAGATTCCCACCAGACATACACTGTGTGATTTTAGCCTGTTTTTAAACACACAATCACAACAGCTTCCAGAAAACAGGTGGAGATGTTTGGCTAGCAAAACAGTGATGTAAGGATGATGCGGTCAGCATGATAGTGGACAGCCTTGGCAAATATGCAACGTATTGTTTTGTTTATTGTTTTATAGCCATGAAAGCAATGGTTTGGTCAAGAATCAAATTCACACTTTTCAAATTCACATCATCTTCCCCTTAACACATGTAGTCAGTCAACCAGTACATGATTGTGTTCTCTCTGTCTCACAATCCTCCAACACAGTGGGCTCTAAATATCTCAAATTACATGAAATATGAAGGACAATGATTTATAAGAATCCTTTAAATGTGGTAAAGATGAAATCTTATCTTTTTATTACTTTTTGTTCATTTCATAGACAAACACAGAGACAGACAAAAAATGAAAGAAATGAAGTGTGAAAATATTATGTTCAAAGGATAAAGAAATAATCCTAAACTAATGCTTAGAAACAATGCAAATATGATGTTAAAATTTCTTCAATTGCATATAAAATGTATTTTTTCAGTAAAGCTACTTGAACCTTGCTAGACAAAACTGGCATAATCATGCCATAAATTATGCGACAGCAGATGTCATACACTGTCATGAGTTGTTATGACTTGCCCAAGTTAATGTTGTGTAGCTGAGTTCAGATTTTAATTTTGAGTTTTCAATGCGGTGATAGTGAGACTATCAAACTGTTAAAATGTTAAACTGTAACACCGATACATGTGAGGAGAAACTCTCCTGGTTTCTGACAGAGTGAGATTACAGTTCCTACTGAAAAACAGCTTGACCTGCTCAAGCTGATTAAACCTGTTAAGTTTGGTTGACCAGCTTGATCAAGTTGGTCATACTAGTAGACCAGCTGAACCATCAAGCTTAAAAAAACATTTTTCACTTTTTTTTCTTTCTTTTTTTAGTCCAGCTGGATGTTCAGCTTGTCAACCACACTGACCAACAAAGACCATCTGAAACCAGCTAGCAGCAAAAGCTGATCTTAGCTGGATGATTCAGCAGGGGTGTTAAAGCTGCTGCTGTTGCTACAGGAAATTCAAGAGCATGTGAAATTGGCTGGTGATGTGACAAACACAGAGGAAGTGACCTCAGTTTAAAATAGCTTAAAACACAAAAGCAAGCACTGATGATGATGATCTGTAGATTAAATATACAAAGCTAGTTCAAAAAATAAAAATCTAGTCCAGAGTATTTTATTAGTCCTGGAAGGGTCAGTGTCCAGCAGTTTGGTCATTTCCCTGCTCAAACACACCCACAGAACTTGGATCTGAATAGCGCTGATCTACCACTGCCTCAATCTATTCATGTTTATAAAATGTTCAGAAAAAACAGGACATGTAAAAGAGTTTGTACTTACAGCTTTATGTTCACACAAATGGATGTAAAATGTAAAAGTTTACCTGTCAGTAATATGAGGGTCACTGCTGCTGTTATATTTCCTGATGTTGGGGAAGTCATGGCAGCAGGTCTAGAAGATAACAGAATACTGGGATAAGGCAAACATTTACCAGGAAAGTATGAAGGAATGAATCCTGACTAAAGTTAATGACTAAGCAGAGTCACTGTTTTAGCTCTGAGAGGTAAGAGACTCACTCACTGCTCTCCTCACACCCATTATGGGGCCTCCCTCTTTCAGCTTACAGTCCCTTCTTTCAGTCAAGAACACACACATATTTAAGTGTGATGATCATTTCTCTGTATTTTTCTCTTTGGTTTTTAATTGATGCTCTTTATTTTTCTTTTTTCAGCCCACAGTTTTTCTGTATGCTAGATTATCACTGTAGTTCCAGGCAGAGCACAGAGACTCTGAGAGGAGAGAGTTACACTGTGCTGAGCCTGAACCCCTGAAACACACACACACATCAGGGCCACAAGTTCAGTTTTAAGCGGGGGGTTGTTGTTGTTACACACACACACTCTAAACCGCTTATCCTTCTGGGTCGCTGCCATCGCGTGGAAGGCAGAACACCCGGACAGTCACAGTCCATCGCAGGGCAGACATGCACACACACTCTAAACCGCTTATCCTTCTGGGTCGCTGCCATCGGGTGGAAGGCAGGATACACCCTGGACAGGTCACCAGTCCATCGCAGGGCAGACAGACAGACAGACAGACACACACACACACACCTAGGGGCAATTCAGCATTTCCAATTGGCCTGACTGCATGTCTTTGGACCGTGGGAGGAAACCCATGCAGACACGGGGAGAACATGCAAACTCTACACAGAAATGACCCTGGGTTGCCCGGCCGGGAATCGAACCCAGGCCATCCTTGCTGTGAGGAGACAGCGCTACCCACTGCGCCACCGTGCTGCCGTTGCTGTTACAAACATTGTTTAAAATGCATTTCTGCCTCTTCATCATTACACAACAGCTAGCAAACACAGCATTGTTGACCATTAATAACAAAACAACTGAGTACAATGGTTGGACAGACACACCCGGTGCTGGAAGAGGGGACACTGCGGCAATGTTGTGAACCTGAGCCAGAGGGGAAACATAGCCAGCTGTAATGCCAGACGACCTGTGTGGAGTACGATTCCCACATACCCTCACTGTTAAAGTGTGGTAAGTGCTTCAAAGGTAAGGGTGCCTTAGAGCCGTACTCCACACAGCTGCAAGTGGTCGCCTGGCATTATGGCCTTCTCATTTTGACTGAAGTGACTATTTAATAGTCAGCATCTAAGATTGTTAATAAAGATTAATATAGCAGGATAATTCCTGTTATAGTTGCAGCTGTTCATCAGAAGCAGAGTAATCCTACCTGAAATACACAGCAGGGTGACAAGTGATAACATCCCACATTCAGAGCTCATAATTCCACATTTACTGTGAAATAAAGACACAGAATAAAGTCTTTGTGTAGTTCAACATATTAATGTAACAAACTAAACATCAGATACTCCATTTGCTTCTTACTGAGGAAACTGAAACTCTACTTTGTGGCTTTAACATTTTCACCATGTCCACTGTTACACTCTGATAGTGGAACTCATAGTTACAGTAATATATTTATAGATCAGACAGAGACTACTTTACTACTTACATTCTCCTGTAAAGACCTTTCACAGCTGTGTAACTCAGTGCACAGTGCAGAGTGTGAGAACAGAGTGTGTGAACGTTGTGTTTAAGGTGGGGGTTTCATCAACACTGTTTTCCTTCCTTTTTTCTGCGGTCAGTCAAAATTATGCACACACACAATGAGCATCTTGTTGTGTTAAATTCCAACAGAGATCCACTCATTCAGAATGTGTTAGTTATATCAAGATATAAGATTGTGTTTAATGTTCATTTCAGTTTGTGTGTCTGTAAAGTTCATTAATGAATTAGTTCAAACTTAAAGCTAACAAAACTGAAAGAAATATCCAAGAGAATTATATTCAATTTAAAATGTATTTTCAAGCATTTACACAAAGCAGCTTTAACCCATTAAGACAGGAGTGTTCAAACTTATTCGCGAAGGGCCGGTGTGGCTGCAGGTTTTCAGTGCAACAAAGCAGGAGGTCACATGATCAGTTGTTTAAAGACTGAGACTGACTGACTAAACAAGTGGAATCAGGAGTGCTCTTCTCTGTTTGGGTTGAAAACCTGCACCCACACTGGCCCACTGCGGATAAGATTGGACAGCCCTGCCTTAAGAGGAAGAGGAAGGAACATTGAGAGGAGCCAGGACTCAACAGAGGAACCCATCCTCCTCTGTTCTGCATCGGAAAGCAAAACAATAATACAACAAGAGCAACATGACTAAAAATAAAGATTTTACAATAAGTATACAATGATGAATACAAAATAAAGAACAGGAAAGAGTCGGACATTTAGATCAACAATGACAACCTATGAGTACTAATCTTAGAGGCCTATCAGGATGAGAAATACAGTGCTGTGAAAAAATTTGCAATTTCTTCTACTTTGCTAACACAAAATGCAGCTTTTAAATGATCTTTCCATTCACTAAAGATAAAGATTAGTTCTAAATCTATATAACTCATGTGAAAAAGTAATTACTCCCCTAAACCTAATAACTGGTTGGCAGTAACAACTGCAATCCATCCCTCCAAAACCTTAATTTTGTTTCTTTTGAGCTATTCAGAGGTGGCCTTGCTTGTGTGTTCCGATTCATTGTCCTGCTGCACAACCGAACTGTGCTTTAGGTCACAAACTGACGTGCGGACATTCTCCTTCAGGGTTTTCTGATAGAGAGCAGAATTCATGGGTCCGTCAGATATGAAAAGTTGTCCAAGTCCTGCAGTAGCAAAGCAGCCCCAGACCATCACACTACCACTACCATGTTTAACTGTTGGCATGATGTTCTTATGATGGAATGCAGTGTTAGCTTTACGCCAGATGTAACAGAACTCATGTCTTCCACAATAAGTTCCACTATCGACTCATCAGTCCACAGAATATTATCCCAAAAGTCTTGGGTGTCATCTATTTGTTTTTTGGCAAATGTGAGACGAGCCTTTGTGTTCTTTTTGGTCAGCAGTGGTTTGCACCTACTCTGTCTGTGACTAATCTCTCACTGTGGGTCGCTGGAGTCGCAGTGCCTTTACAATGGCTGTGTAACCCCTTCCAGACTGGTAGATTCCAATGACTCTGTTTCATATCTGTATTTGAATCTCTTTACAACGTGTACTGCTTTTTGTGACCTTCTAGCCTGACTCACATTGACAGACAGGTTTCTTTAGATACAACAGGTCTGGCAGTAATCATGCCTGGATGTATCTAGTGAAACTGAACCCAATAGTCAATTGAATTTAGTTACCTGGTTGATTTTGTAATTAAGGGGGCAATTACTTTTTCCCCTAGGGCCAGGTGGGGCTGAACAGCATTTTTCCTTCAATAAATGAAATCATCATTTAAAAACAGTTTTTTTGTGTTTATGTGGGTCTTTCTCTAATATTAAAAGTAGTTTGATGATCTGAAACATTCAAGTGTGACAGATATGCAAAAATAGAAGAAATTGGGAAGGGGCAAATACTTTTTCACAGCAGTGTAGGTCTGTGAAAACCAGTAACTACAGTTATACAATTGTACAATTCATTTTATTATTATTATGATTATTATTATTATTTATTATATTTGGATTTAAGGTCTCCAAATATCTGAGAGCAGCAAGACATTTCTTGTAATGATATCAGCAATAAATTTGATGCAAAAGTGTAATAATGTATTTAGATATTAACACACATATTGGCTCTGGTGGCTTCACATAGACAAAGATCATCACTTCTGTTCTGAGCAGATTACTGGAGAGAGAAACACACAAGGCTTTGACTGAAAGTGAGCAGTAAAGAGGATATTTTCAGATAATCTGCTGCTGCTTTATGAAATATCTATCAGAACAGAAATAGGTTCAGTTCTGCTTCACTCTGCTACGGAGCCCCGGAGGGGACAGAGGTAAAAAAAAAAATACTTCACTCGAGTGAACGTTTTGCAGTTCATTCCCTGTTTTCTTTTAATCTTGCACACGTTTTCTTTATTTCATGGGTGTTTTTTAATTTGTGATCATGATGTTCTAATTTGTTCTCTCGTTTTCTTTTAAATGTGGTCGTGGTTTATTTTTAACTTAACGCACATTGGTTGTTTTTTTTATTCGTGCACAAACAAAATAAATGTAAATATAGGCTGCTAACAGCTCCCTGAGACTGTCTGATGGGTTTTGATGTGTTAGACTGATGAGATGATGGACAGAGATGCTCATCAGGTTTGATTTTGATTTGACTGAAGACTTGCAGACTGAAAACTTTTCTGCTGGTTCGAATGGCTAATTAGCACAATCAGTTATTAAAGAATGAAAAGCTACCGAGAGCAGTCCGTGCACTCTAGATTAATCTGTGTCTGAGGATTATGACAAAACAAATTTGGTGAAAATCGGTTGAGTAATAAGGAAGTTGTGGCCGATTTAATGCTGAGACTCATCACCTCTCAATACAAGTGAATTTGTTCACAAGCGGATGTTGACCGCTCCAACATGGTGGACGCGCAGACGTAGCGCCTGAAAGACTGACACTC